TGTGCAAATTCTCAATCAGCGGGATGAAATATTTTGTTCTTGAAGTAAATTTTTTTTACATAAATACATTAGTTGCTAATTCATTCACAGTAACCTTCCATTATTATATGCCCAACTTCATTCTAAACCATGGCTCTTGTCTCATAGGCTCATCATCCTTTCTCATAATAAAAATCTTTGTTAAGACCAATATTCATGTGTAGAAGATATATATATATATATATGGTAAAAGTAAAACTATAATTTATTTTATTTAAAAAAGTATCATCAATATATAAACATATATAGAAGATCAATAATAAAAATGAACTCTCTTTTAGACATTGATTCATTATAAATGTTCAAAATCGGAACTCTCTTCCAAATAATTAAATGCATGAGAAGCTTCAGTCCAATGATGAAAAGTTAGCTCGAGCCTTGTCGTAAGCCAAACTCTTGCTGACTTGTACAAAATTCACCTAAAAGTTGAAGACAAACAAATGGCTATTAAAAATAAAAGTAAGTTATTCAGGAAGAGCAATAGAAAAGCTAGCCATGAAAGCATTGCAGTGTGTACCCTTCAACCCCTTACGGCACATTCTTGCTTCTGGATCTAATAGCTATTAGTGCAAGAGTACACACTCTAAAGAACACGTCTTACAAAATTCAAGAATAATCATTTCAATATCTAAAATTTAACAAAGACTCACCTCTGCTATACATCCAACTATCACCCTTCTAATGATATTGCTACTCCTCAGTGTTGCTTTTATTAGCAAGTTAACATATGTGGCTATTTACAATGCATAATAACATATAATAGCATAACATATAGTTATTTTTAAACCTGTAAACAATTAGAAATCTTCTCTTACCCGTTTTCTCACCTTCAATCTCAACAACATGACCATTGGGCTGTAATAGACTTACCGGTGAATTTCTAGAACAAAAACGATGTAGAGGTAGGTCGTAAACTTTGACAGAAGATTGTGATTTCACTGGAGTCGATGTTGATGCTGACTATGATGAAGAGATAACCGTAAACTTTGACAGAAGATTGTGATTTCACTGGAGTCGATGTTGATGCTGACTATGATGAAGAGATAACAAAGAAGGTGGTTGACAGGCTCACTGGAGTCGATGTTGATGCTGACTATGATGAAGAGATAACAAAGAAGGTGGTTGACAGGCTTCATCAATAGCACACCATGAAATCTCAATGACTAATTTGCATGTTGCTCGCGGACAAATAAGAGGGTTTCTTCTGCTCTTTATATTCAACGTAGTGGTTGAGAAGGGGCAACAACGTGCTCCTCTCCTTTTCTTATCGGTATTTTAGTGTGCCCTTAAATGAGTTCCCTTTGAACTACTCTTGATGATTTATTGTTCGTTGGAGATTAATTTTTGCTGAGGCCGCTGGTTCTTCTCCTTTTTCAGTTTAGTGTGTATTTATGTAGAGGTGAGAAACGCTTGCAAGTAAATGGGATGTTTGAGAGGATTACTGGGTGGTTTATTAACTATAATTAATGAAAAAGGGTTAGTAGAGAGAATTGTCTAAATTTGTAGATTGAAGGGGTTTGGGCTTTGAATTAAGTGTATGTATTTTTCTTTTTAATTTTGACCCAACTGTCTAATTTTAATAACCTACTAAAATCTATTTCTCGTTTTTAATTTGTTAAGCCTGACACGTTGTGATGTAGGGGCTTGATCAGGTTAATTTGGATATGAGCTATTTTTGTTCTTTCTCTCTTTTATATAAAGATATGCAGAATTTTTTGAAACTATTATTTATACCTAATACCTGATGTAAACTATATGTTATTTAATTAGGAACTAATATGATGCTTTTAATAATTCAATAACAATATATTTAATTGTCAATATTACTTCTTGTTTTTTAAATAGAATGAATTGTATGAGTAGGAATTGAAAGGACTTGTGAAATAGTGGAGAGAGTGGATGGAAGAGGTCATTTAAGATATTAAATGCAGGCCATAAAAGAATTTAATTAAGAAAATTATTAATAAAATAATTATAAAAAGTAATATTTTTTCTCATTTAAGTATGCATGTATGTTCTTGTATATATGTGTTTTATTATGTATGTATGCATGTGTTTTGGAGGATGTATGTATGTGTTCTATTTATATATGTATTTATTTTGGGAAAAAATGTTTTAACATACCAATCCACTTTTATAATAATATTAGATTAACTCCTATAAGATTGTTATAAAGCATAAATTACAAGAAATCCCTTGGTCTATATTATCTTTTTCAAGAAATTACATCAACTAAAAATTTAGGTCTCTTGTATGTCAAGACAGATATTGCATGAGAATTCTCGGTCATGTATAAAAAGATAAGAAGTTTTTTTTCTTCGTTCAAGTACTAACTTTGTCGTAATATATTATTAAATGAAATTTTTTAATATTATTCTATGATAAGCTTAATATAATGTATGTGGTAAATTAAGCTATTCTATTAAAAAAATAAGAGAGCCGAGGCTTGTTCTTATGTAAATTGCAAATTTAATATGTAATATTATATGAGGTAAATTAAGCTTAATATAATGTCTATATTCATGCTTCTTAGGTTGACAAGTTTTAATTTGGATCGTTGACGATCACGGGAAAATGTAACTACTTTGCAAACGGTACTCATAGTTCCTCTAATTATTTTGGTCAAATATTTTTTGGTATATTTAGGAATATCAATGATTATCCCTTTATCTCTAATTTCTCATGGGTTGGATAACATTTTCTTTGTATATATGTCTATTAAGATACAAGCAATATTACCTAAACTTTGGGATTAGCAATAGAAATCAACTAATTAACGTCGAATCCAGCTCATAAAATTGATCTGAACCCTGGAACTACAATCTAATATCATTGCAGTAAGTTCGACAAAATTTTAGGTCTCAGAACGTGTTTGCTTGAAAAAAACACCTTGAAATTTTTTTTACTAGTTCCCTTTCTTTTTAGGGAAAAATGTTTCAAGGCCCCAAAATAAAGACCCAAATGTGACCAAGTTCCTCTAAAAATATATAAACTATTATTTACTTTTTACTGAATACGGGCTTACTTAAGGATGGGCTTTTAATCCAAGATTGTTGATTACTTTAGAATTGAGTTAAAATACCAATTTGACTATGATTGAAAGTTCAGTTTGACTTGAAACACTGAGTTATTATTGGGTCAGGACAATTCCAATTAGAAAAAAAAATAATTAGTGTTAGAATAATTATAATCAGAATTTGATAGGAGAAGATATCCTTTCCCAACTCGGAATTGGAAAGAAAAACGTTTAAATACACAACTGGAGAAATTCTTTATAAACTAAAGATAAAGAAAATTCGAACAAAAAATTAAGATTGTTGGAGCTCCAGTGGACATATATAGGTAACTTTCCAAACTCATTATGTCTATTCTTTTTCTTTTTCTCTTTTTTTTTTTTTTGCTTGCTCGTTTGTTTGTCGGCAATAATTCAATAAAATTTTATGCTAGATTGCTTTTCTTTCTTTCCCGTGCAATGCAAACGCAGTAAAATTTTTATAAAAAAAATAAAGGGTGTGCCGGTGTGGTGTGGATTTCCAGAAGCAAAATAATTATGTGCAAGTTTGTGTTCAAGCTCGTTCATGTTTTCACACTGCTCTGAATTAATTATTACGAGGCTGGAAAATATTCCTCATGTTGATAATGTTTACCGGTGATTGCTCTACTTTAGTTCTTGAAATTGCTTAATATTTTCTAATCCTTGTACTTGATCAGCAGTAAAGATTTAGGATATTTTATTTTAAGATTAACGTTGCCAGAATTATATGTTCTTGGTCAGACTAGGTTCACTCAAATCTGGAGTTTGTCAGGTTTGGCGTAGGGCTGCTAAACCGTAACTATATTCGAGAAAATATCCATAACCGAATGGAAAATTTTGGAAATTAGACCTATTTTGCTAAATATTTAGCAAAAGAGACCGTTTTGCTAAATATTTAGCAAAATAAACCTCTTTTTGGCTTGTTGGCCAAAAAGAGGTCGATTTTGCAAAACAGACCATTCGAAACATACGGGACTAGTAGTCCCGTATGATTTAATGGGGATTAAATCATACGGGACTACTAGTCCCGTATGTTTCGAATGGTCTGTTTTGCAAAATCGACCTCTTTTTGGCCAACAAGCCAAAAAGAGGTTTATTTTGCTAAATATTTAGCAAAACGGTCTCTTTTGCTAAATATTTAGCAAAATAGGTCTAATTTCCAAAATTTTCCATTCGGTTATGGATATTTTCTCGAATATAGTTACGGTTTAGCAGCCCTACGCCAAACCTGACAAACTCCAGATTTGAGTGAACCTAGTCTGACCAAGAACATATAATTCTGGCAACGTTAATCTTAAAATAAAATATCCTAAATCTTTACTGCTGATCAAGTACAAGGATTAGAAAATATTAAGCAATTTCAAGAACTAAAGTAGAGCAATCACCGGTAAACATTATCAACATGAGGAATATTTTCCAGCCTCGTAATAATTAATTCAGAGCAGTGTGAAAACATGAACGAGCTTGAACACAAACTTGCACATAATTATTTTGCTTCTGGAAATCCACACCACACCGGCACACCCTTTATTTTTTTTATAAAAATTTTACTGCGTTTGCATTGCACGGGAAAGAAAGAAAAGCAATCGGAGTCATTAATTTTAAAACAACTTGCAACTATTTTGAGCCTTTTTTATGCTAAGCTATTTGGTTTCAGCGAAACTAGCACTGGTACTTTAGCCCCAAACTGGTTCCCTCTACTTCACTTCTCTGTTCTCCCACTTCCGGAGTCATTAATTTTAAAACAACTTGCAACTATTTTGAGCCTTTTTTATGCTAAGCTATTTGGTTTCAGCGAAACTAGCACTGGTACTTTAGCCCCAAACTGGTTCCCTCTACTTCACTTCTCTGTTCTCCCACTTCCGCCAATATGTTGCTGGGGTCATTAATTTTAAAACAACTTGCAACTATTTTGAGCCTTTTTTATGCTAAGCTATTTGGTTTCAGCGAAACTAGCACTGGTACTTTAGCCCCAAACTGGTTCCCTCTACTTCACTTCTCTGTTCTCCCACTTCCGCCAATATGTTGCTCCGCAGTCGCTTCTTAAGCTACCCACTTCCCTTCTCCTTCCCCCATCATCTCCCTCCTCGTTCGCTATCCATCTTCTATGAATCTAAACCCAATCCTCAAACTTTATCTTACTCCTCTTCCTCCTCCTCATCATCGTCGTCGTCATCTCCCATCCAATCACGGGAGCCCACTTCTTCAGACGCCGCCCTCTTCGTCCCGCCGGGGGTCGCACGTGCCGATGTCACCGCCGACATGGTCCTCCCCGGCTCCAACATCGTTGTTGGCCCCTACGCCGGCGACGCCAAGATCAAGCAGGTCGAGTTCGTCAAGAGCAGCGCACGTGCTCGCGACTGCCCCAAGGACGAGCGCCCGGAGTTCGCCATTGTTGGGCGTTCCAATGTCGGCAAGTCTTCGCTTATCAATTCTCTGGTGAAAAAGAAGGAATTTGCTCTTACTTCGAAAAAACCAGGTGGGTTTTGGCGAATTGTTTGGTTTTTTTTGGCAATTTAAATTTGATTAATTGTGGGTTTTGTTTTTGGTTTGTTTTGTTTTTTAAGGGAAGACGCAGCTTATTAATCACTTCTTGGTGAATAAAAGTTGGTACATTGTGGATTTGCCGGGATATGGGTAAGAATTTCACCTGCAGACCAAATGTTTGTTTATTTGCTTGACGCAACTAAGCTGCTGCATTTTGTATATTATTGAGTTAATTGGGAACCATGTAACATTTTTTTCTCCTTTTTGATTCCTTCTAAGGCGGTTCTTGTGGAATTCACTCGAAACAAAATTGATACAATGTGTTTAACTCAATGCTTTTGAAATACTGAGTTCAAATGAATAAAGAGTCTACTTGTTTAGGTTGTATATCTTTGCTGTGTGAATATAGAAATAGAACAATTATAGTATCTATAGAGTGAGGAAAACAATTTCTTTGTCAACATTCTCATTGTTTCATGAAAGTTGATGCAAAATTCAGTAGAGCTGTGAGGGAGGGCGCTTAGGGAGGGACATGAACCCCCTCCATCGTTCTGCTGGTAATAGCTCCTATCACTGTCCCCCTTCCAGCTAACCCGTTGGGCTAACATCCTCAACCTCACTATTTCCGGCAGAGCTCTTTATGTGTCTCCCCAACTCTCGGATGCAGATTTCAAAGCTATGGAGATGCTGTGGACGAGTTATGTAAGTGGCAGAAAAGGGTAGGTTGGAGGAGAGAAGTAGTAAAGGATCTCCCTCCCTCCTTGAGACATCTTCTCAACTTGGAAGGGGAACATGTTTGAAGAAAACGATGAGAGCAATGAAGAGAGGAGACATCCAAGATCCAATTACAGCTCCTGGAAAGAAGTTGTGGAAGTTGGTGTAGTAAGGAGGTTCTCTTCTCGGCGTTCTAGGAGATCCCACCATGCTTCTCCTTATGAGGGATCTGGAAGAGGTGATAGAGAGCTATATGTATCTACTTGAACAAAACTCCACTTTTAATGCTACCTCACCTCGGAAACAAGCTTGAGATAGCCCGAGTAGATCTCAGGAGCTCTTCTTCTTTGGTCCAACATACAGGTTCCTCCTTTAAGTCCTCTCATAAGCTGGTTGATTAGGAGCACTAACTTTGGAAAGTGGGGGCTAGGGTATTTTTTCAGAAATCGAGGGGTAGGGTAGGCAACATCAACTACCTCTAAGATAGGAGAGGAGGAATGGACTCAAGTCAAATATAGATTGACCCTTAAGAAGGAGAAATCATCTCTTATAGATAGTCAGCCTCTTAAGCAAGCTATGCTTTCTAAGAAGTTCAAACCAATTCAAAGTCTCTAAGTGGTATGATTGTGGGTTCTTGCTCATCTTAGATAATCTCGTCCCCAAGGTTTAACTTGTTACTATTGTAGACAGGTTAGCCATATTAATTCGGATTGCCCTTACACAGCTAAGTCAATAAAAGTCACAAACAAGTTGGTGGAGATGCTCACTTAGTGGGTAAATCAGCTCTAGAGAGATTCAACAATGGTGATGCAAAGTCGATGATGGAAAAGAAGGAGAAACAATCCAGTGATTATGAAGCTGGGGTAAGAGAGCGGTTGGCTAAATTTTGAATGACTCCTTTGATTGAGAGTTTGCAACTCAAATGGAAAAAGTAATTTGTCACAATCAAAGTGGTTTTCAGGTATGCTACTACAACAAAAATTATTGAAGCATTGCAGCATGCATGTAAAGAGGCCAATGAGTAGAACTGGCATTTCATGGATAACAGAAATGGTTTCCTCATAGTATGTCCTTCAGAGCGCCTCATGGATGGATTCTCAAATTCAGCATTAAAGAGTTCAAAGATGGGGCTTTCAAGTTACGACCGACTTAATGGTCTGGAGAGGAGGGATTGGTTGCTATAAGACTGCTAGTTGTAGTGTGGATTCATGTGTTTGGTTTGCCAATTCATTGTTGGGAGCATTTGGGGTCTGAAGATCTAGTTAAATAGCTTGGCTCACTTCTTAAATGTCGATCGACTTAGTGGTGAGAGGAAATGAGCTAAATCCACTTGAATCAAAATTGGGCGTAAATCTCTAAATGACATCTCGGCCTTCATTCTAGTGGTAGTAGATAGATGTTTTTTTACCCCTTGTTTGTCTTAGTGGACATGGGTAAAGAAATTGAAGATTTTTCATCACGAACCTCGAGAGGCAGAATTTTATCTAATAGTAACAACTTGTTTTCGAGACTATTTTCGGACTTGGAATGTTTTGGTGAAGAAAAAGACAACAGATTTATGTTTGGCCAATGAATCGAGGCTGGACCAAGTTTAGACCGGTTTGTGAATAATAATAAAGTGGTTTTTAAGAGTATTCTGAGTGGATTTAGTTTGCATCCCTTTGAGGAGAATTTTATGGCCCTCAGGGATCATATCTCTGCACAGAATAGTTGATAATTTTGCTTTTCCCACAATTGAGGGTAGTCTTCACAGAATCAGGTTGATATAACAACTATCAACAGATGTCAAGAGGTCAAAAGTTTAGGCTTCAAAGATGTCGTGATGGATTATTTTCTAAATAATAAAGATTCAACATCAATTTCTTTTGACGAAGTCAAACAACATATAGAGGTAAAGTGAATGTTTTAGAAAGCAAACACTTGGCCAGTCTAGGCCTAGACCGTACCTAGCTGCTTGCCTAGGACTTGAGGGGTGCCTACGTTAGTATAAGATGCTTACGTTGACCGCACCACTTAGGTTTTGGACATGATTGCCTTAGTTGCAGCCTCCATGTCCTCCAACCTTCTCCAAACTCCTCTAGCGTCCTCTACTAACTATGAATAGTTCTTCCATCTCCTCACCTTTTAGAAAACCTCATCTATTACCACTTAAACAAAAATATGAAAACAACTTAGGCCTTGCCTAGGTTCTAGGCATGCGGTTTAGCGCCGTGATAGGAAAAATCTGCAAGTACACAGACTCGTTGTAGCTATCAAGGTCGATCCCACAGGGACTATGGGTTAATTACCAAATTTCACGTTATTTGACTAGCTAAACTAATGAGTAAATTAGAAGAGATGAAAATTAAAAGAAATAAAATAAGTAGCTAATCAGGGGGAATTCAATATAATGAAGGGTCAGGATTGGGTTTTCACCACAACTTCGATGCTTAATGATGAATTATTTTAGTTCTCGGTGTTGGCTTAAACTAGAAAGGGTGAATTAGCCTAAATTAATCTAAAGCCTCTTTCAAGGTCTAAAGATCGTGCCTAATTAATCTTAATTAACCTACTTTCGTGGAATCAAGATTAAATTAAACCTATTAAGCTTTATGCTAATCCAAATCAAATCCTCAAGGAATCTAGCCTATTTTCGTGGTTCGAGTTCTCTGCTTAATTTCTAGAGGTTCAGTATTAATTTTTACCTTTCAGTCCTTCAATTAATTACCTATGATTGCTAATACGGTGATCAAGCGAATCAACAAAATAAAAAAAATAAGAAATTAAGTTTAAAGATTTAAACTTTCACCAAGAACCTATATTAATTCACCATCAATCATCAAAAAATTGGGTTCTTTCCCAATCCTAGACAAAGAATCTACTCACACATGATTGGGATAAGAGAATACATCAAATAATTATGCAAATCAATCATAAGAAGATATAAATTAAAGAGAGGAAAGAATTAACCCGTCTTTCAATTGAAATCTTTAAAATATATACTTACAATCCAATCTTGTACATGAAATTAGTGTCTTCCTTTAATACTTAAACTCTAAAATAGTTGCTAATTAACGGTTAAGAGAACATAACAAAAGATATCTAAACCCTAAGACAAAATATCTATTTATATGTCCCCAAAAAATCTGGAAGAAGATAAGGCCCGCGCCACGGGTGTGCTGCGCACCACACCAGGGTGTGATAGAATCTGTCTTGCTCATTTTGTGCTTGTTTGTACAGTCTTCGGTATTTTGGCTATAACTTTTCCGTCCGACCTTAGAATGAGGTGATTCAAGTTGCATTGGAAAGCTGTCGAAGAGATTTATAACTTTTGTCTTTTTAGTTTTTCTGGATTCAAATTGCATCATGGTCCAAATTCCAGTTCTTCATGCTATGCATCCATTTTCTTCTCGAACCATGCATCCTAAGTCCGGTTGTTGCTTCAAACTCTTGTTTAACTTCCAACGATCATCGAATCTTTAATCTTGAGTCAATACCTGCATATAAGAACAAAAATCACAACAGTATCCTCGATCTAAATACGAAATATACATCAAACACCCATAAATCATACTTGAAACACACTAAGATAATGCATATTTTACGTGTTTATCAACTCCCCAAGCTAAGACTTTTGCTTGTCAAGCAAATAAACAATAAAAATTAAGAGGAGTGGAAGCCAAATAGAGTAGAGATCACCCCCTCATCAATTCTTTAACCAATATCAAACATATCATAAGACAAATACATTTCATCAGGACTTAACAAAGTAATTTTTAAAACTCTCAACAAAATCACATTTCAAACTTTACTTACTATCACAAGCGTCACAAGTCAAGGATAGCCATCCTATCCAATTTTCAAGTCAAAGTAGGAAAAAGAAATTCATGTAGCTAGCTTCAATCCAGAAGTAGTAAAATTGAGACTTTCAGATAGTTAAATTGGTAGACCTCACGTTAGGGTATGTAGACTCTCAATCTCTCATGTGTTTAAGGGTAGGATTATGTCGCTCAAAATTCTTCCGAATGGATGCATTCAATCCATAGGCTTGCATCTCATCTCAATTCTCCACCACTTTGAAAACTAAAGCATGCAACAAAATCATGAGGTCTTTTATTTGGTTGTAATGAGGTTAGGGTCAAAAGGTAGGATAGATATTTGGATTGTAATTGAAAGCCTATCATTAGTGGAGCGATAATTGAAAAAGATTAGATCTCAAACATCCACACAAACTCCATCATCTATCAAAGAACTTCTTCCAACTACTTCTTTTAGTATGTTATTTTAACACCAATAATTACATGCACTATAAAGAGGACACTTTATTCATCTCTCTTTTTTTTAAGAAAGAATTATTAAAAGGAAGCAAACACCTACTTTCACACCCTTTAGCTTACACCTCATTACTCACATAACCCATTATATCATAAATTGTGCTCCACTAGCTTAGGCAATGG